GGAGCCTTGCTCTGATACCAACTGATGAGAACCACATAGCAATGAACACTACGCAACCCACGAGCTTTAACTTAAAATGTAATTCATCGAAAATTATCACTTTAGCACATGCAACTCTACACTCTTCCTTGCTTCGACCCAAAGCAATAAGATTGCTCCCCCCACCCTTCTTTATTGTTCTCAAATGATAAGATTTTCCGCTTCTTATCCTCCAATCTACCTGGATACTTCTTTCAATGATTTGTCAAATGATTACCCAATGTACTAGTATCACACTTCTTAGTGCCACAAGCATAATCTACTCCACAATAATTACACTTACATCTAACATTTGGATCATTTTTTAGGCCCAATAGAGTGAAGTGATCCCAAACATAAGAAGTTAATCTATTAGATTTTCATTTTCCCTAGTTGAAGGTGCACGTGGAGGAAGACCATATCACAAATCTTTGTCATTTGATTGAGCATGTGTGCCACGTTCTTCACATACATCCATATCTACTAACATATCTCACAAAAAAATATGAATACACCATATTAAATTACAATTATGAATGCCTACAAGGAAGAAAGAATATTGCACATGGGTCCATTTCCTCACTGATTTTATCATTATCAGTCGTTTTAATTGATTCTGATTTTAACCATAAGTTAGAAGACGCCTTTCTATCAGTACAAAACAGGCCATTAGTCCTTCCTCTGTATGCTAGCAAATAAAGTTTAAAGATAATTTCGATCCAAATTAACAACCTTTATGCTTTTAGGTTTTCATTTTTTCACATATCAAGTCTAGAACAATGGTCAAGTGCTTGTGTAAAATATTTATGATAGTTTCTGACAAAGTCAACAGTAACCTACAATATTTCAACTAACCAAAGTGAGCAAAAAAGCACAGATAAATCATAAATGAAGCGTACAACATAACAAGAAAACAAATAATTGCCGAGAGGTACGCCAGTGATCTTGTGCGAAAGGGAAAATACTAAAATTCCAGTGATGTTATTATGTATATAGAAAGGGAAAATACAGAAATAACTATAAAAAAGAAGAAAAAAACCTACTTTTAGTCTACATGTAGAATCAGAGAAATCAAATAAGAAAAATAGATTTGTGCGACTGTGTCGTGGCCATGCATGATGATTCCAATTTTGAACTGAATCGGTTAAGTGATAGAATAGATTTACCTGTGACTCGATCAAAACCCACCCCACAAGTTGAGAGAAAATGACTGGACGAGAAACAGAGAAACATTAGGGCTTATTGTACTGTACGGCGGGAGTGGAGAGTGAAGAAGAAAAGAAGACCGACTGAAAATTCTTGGGCTTCTTTCCCTTTTATATTTAGTCATTTTTTTTCATTTTCATGTTGGTTGAGTCGGGTCGATGTGGGTTCTACCGAGTTGTCTTGCTTAACCCACGACCCGACCCAACCTGACCCAGTAGCATAATCCAATACCCGAAACCCGCCTAAAAACACCCAACCCATAGGTCGGATTGATCGGTTTTCATAGGTTGGCTTGGGTGTTACCCACCCTTACCCACAGTCCATACCCTTTAATATCCTCTCCATACCCCATAAAAATACATTTTAAGGATTTGGGTTCAAGTTTACCTTCACTTTGATGTAAATAGGTAGTGCAGCCAAGAACTTTGAGTCTACTGTAGTCAGGTATTTATCCAAACCACAGTTTTTCAGGAACTTGAAAATCAATAGCACTGGATGGACTTCTATTTATTAGATAAGTTGCAGTTTTTAGGGTTTCTCCTCAGAAAAACTTAGGAAGACCAGAACTGTATAGCATACACCTTGCCTTTTCCAATAGGTATCTATTCATTCTCTTAGTAATACCATTTTGCTGAAGAGTGTATGTTACAGTTTTGTGTCTTAGAATTTTAGATTCTTTACAAAATGAATCAAATTCTAAATTACAAAATTCTAGTCCATTATCAGTCCTTAATGCTTTAATTTTCTTGTTGGTTTGGTTTTCAATCATAAGTCTCCACTGTTTGAAAGTTTTAAAAGTATCTGATTTTTGTTTTAGAAAAAAAGTCCAAATTTTCCTTGAAAAATTATCTACTATAATTAGATAGAACCTAAATCCACTTAGAGTATTTACAGATACTGGACCCCACATGTCAGTATGTAAATAGTCCAAGATAGAAGTGGATTTATGGGTTCCAGTTTTGAAAGGTAGTCTTTTCTGTTTTCCAAAAATACATTTTTCACTAAAATCCAATTTTTTAATATTACCATTACCAAAACAACCAAGATTATTCAAAATGGTCGGTCCTTTTCTGAAATATGACCAAGTCTTTCATGCAAAATTAAAGACTTATTAGACTCAGAGTTTAAGGCTGTAGAATAATGGTTAACCACAAATTCAACAGAGTCAGTATATATCCCATTTAGTTTCAAAGCGGAGATAACAGTTTTATTACCTTGTTTAAGTCTCAGCAGACTTTTATGAATCATGATATTGTACTTGTCATCTAATTGTTCCAAAGAAATTAGATTTCTTTTAAA